AGGAAGGAAGGAAGGAAGGAAGGAAGGAAGGAAGGAAGGAAGGAAGGAAACATCAAAATAAAAAATAATTATCAACATAATTGTGAGAAATGTGAGAACAGTAAAATTTCAGAGGGAAAATGAACTAAGGTGATAACTGGGACCAAGAGCTAAGAGTATCTGCTGTTCTCCAGAGGACCTAGTTCAGTTCCTAGCACAACACCAGATTCACAGCAGCCTGTACTTCAAGCTCCAAGGGATCCAACGTCACATAGCCAGGTCAAGGCTAGCCTGGACTATCTCATGAGACCCTATCAAAGAAAAAGAGATAGAGAGAGAGACAAAGAGAGAGAAAGAGAGGCAGGCAGGGTCCCAGGCAGGTGTGGTGCTCAAGGTCAACCTCCGCTACACAGCTGAGCCGGAGGTATATAAAAGATGCACTCTCAAAACAGAAGAAGAAAAAAAGCCAGGTTTCCTATGGCAAGGGAAAAAGTGGTCCTTAAGCACTCAGCAATATATTTGTATCTAATAATGAAATCCAATTTCTTCCTACTCGATAAAAATATCAACCATGGCAGGGCACGGTGGTGCACACCTTTAATCCCAGCACTCGGGAAGCAGAGACAGGCAGATCTCTGTGAGTTAGAGCTAACCTGGCCTACATAATGAGTTTGAGGAAAGTCAGGGTTATGTAGAGTGATCTTGTCTTAAAAAAAAAAAAAAAAAAAAAAAAACTCGTTTTTTTTCATTAGTAACAGTATCCTTTAAATACATATAAAAAGAATTCATTCTTTATAAATTAAATTTTAAAACACAAATTATATTATATTCATTGTCTATCATCAACAAATGGGCTTGGTATGGTGGTACAGGCCTTTAATTCCAGCACTTAGGAGTCAGATAGGCAGATCTCTGTGGGTTTGAGACAGCACGGACTACAAAGTAAATTCCAGGCCAATCAAGACTACAAAGAGGGACTGTGGAGAGTATTAAGGACAGTACTGGCCAGGTGACTCAGCCCTATAATCCCACTTTGTAAGAGGCTGAGGAAGAAAGACTACAAAGAGTCTAAGGCCAGCCTCAACTACACAGTGAATTCTAGGCCAGCCTGTGTTAAGAAATACTTTTTAAAAAACAAAAACAAAAATAAAAAACCCACAGGGTAACAGTGTTGTCCTTGGTTGTTGCTGCAAAGTAAGATGTTTCATCATCCAGCCTGTCCAAACTTACCTTTTTATATGTAGTCTCTCCGGAGGGATCAACACTTCTGTGGCCTATTTTCTTGACAGGCATGACAGAGGCATTAGGTCCCTAAAAGGAAAAAAATGAAGATTACTCTATGAATCCATGCAGTGTTACACAGCTATAACCCTAGCACTTGGGAGGATGAGTTAAAAGGACTGTTAACACAAGGCTATCTTAGGCTTAGAAGAATGCCAAGTGTTAACCTGCAGTACAGAGTTGAGAAAGTCTCAAAAGCCCAAAAAAGATAATAGTTGCTCATTCCCACACAATATGATAAACAGCTATAGTGATAGCATATAAAAATCACTGAGGAGGCTGGAAAGTTGCTCAGCAGTTAAGAGCAGCTGTTCCTCTTGCAGAGGACCCTGGCTTCCAAGCAGCATCCATAACTCTCATTCTGGGGCATCTGAAGTCCTCTTCTGACCTCTTTGCACACCAGCACGCATGTGGTGCCCATAGTCACACATGCAGGCACAACGTTTATACAAGCAAGATAAACAACCACCCCTGCCGCCTGAACAAACGAGGCAGTGGGAGAGGGCTCAACAGTTAAGAACATCAGCTGCTCCTCAGGCAGGCCTAAGGTAAGTCCCAGCACCCACCTCACAGCTCACAACCATTTGTAACTCCAGTCCCAGGGGAATCCAACACTTTCTTTAGACCTCCATGGGTACCAGGCACGCGTGTGTGCACATACATAAAGTAGATAAAACATTTATACACATAAAGCAAAATTCATGAATCTACAAAAAGTTTTAAAGAGTACTTTAAAAAGAGTAGAACTTAGCTGAGTTCCAAGACAACCGAGCTACCAAGAAAAAACCTGTCTCAAAACACCAAAAAAACCCGTCTCTCACTAGGTAACCCTGGACTAGAATAATTCAGGAGATAACCCTACTTTTGCCTCCTGCAGGACATGGTAATGGATGCCCTTAATCCCAACACTCAGGAGCCAGAGGCAGGAGAAGCTCTGTGAGTTCCAGGCCAGTCTGGTCTACATAGTAAGACCCTGTCAATAATAACAATAGTAACTTTTAAAGGCTTTTCCGTATTTTTTATTTAAGTTCCACTGAGAAATTATCACCCAAGTAACCTAGATAATTCTAACCTTGAATTCTAACTCAAGCAGAATTCTATTTAAAAAGAATTTATCACCTCTAGAACTGACCTAGCAATATGAGGACTTCTATAAACCAAAAATTTGAAGATTGAGACAATAAAATGGCTTGAGTAAGAAACGTAAGTACTTTGAAGAGATTTTTTTTAACTTATTTTTATTTTGTGTGTACTGGTGTGTATTTGCCTACACATATGTCTGTGTGAGGGTGTCGGATCCCCTGGAACTGCAGGTAAAGATAATTATGAGCTGTCATGTGAGCGCTGGGTATCGAACCCAGGTCCTCTGGACAAGCACTCAGTGCTCTTAACCACTGAGGCATGTCTCCAGCGCCCAAAGAGACTTTTAAAAATTACGTTTTATTACAGTTATTTGTTGGGGGGGAGGGTCAGAGGACAACTTTCAGGAGTTGGTTTTCTCCTTCCAAGGTATGGGTCCCAGGGACCAAATTTAGGCACTTAATGTCCTCTGGCTCGACAGAAAATTCCTTTACTGTCTTGCCAGGTGTAGTGCCGCATACATTTAATCTCAGCACATAGGTAGAAGCAACTGGATCTATGAGTTCCAGGCCTGTCAGAGATATACAGACAGACCTTGTCTCAAAAAAACCAAAACACTGGCCAGGTGGTGGTGGCCTTTAATCCCAGCACTCAGGAGTCAGAGGCAGGTGGATCTCTGAGTTCAAGGTCAATCTGGCCTACAGAGCAAGTTCTAGGACAGCCAGGAATACACAGAGAAACCCTGCCTTGAAAAACAAAAAAAAAAACAAAACCCAAAATGCCTTTACAGGAGGAGCCATCTCACAAGGCTTGAAGAGATTCTCAAGTACATGATATGACTTTGTATTCCACCCACATAACAGTTCCAGAAATATGAGAGGAATAAAACCAGAGCAGAATCTAACCAGCTAGTCCCAGAAGTCAATATGGCAGTGTAACAAAACACAAAGCTATTTTTCATGCCATTAATAACCATCATGTTAGGAAGTCAGAGAACAAGGCTAGTGAAAAGGTATGCCACAATCTTAAAAACTTTTTTTTTTAAGACAGGGTTTCTCTGTTTTTAGCCTGTCTTCGAATTCACAGCAATCTACCTCTGTCTCCTAAGTGCTGGGATTAAAGGCATGTGCCATCACGCCCGGCCTTCTTGAAGCCCTTAATAAAAGGATTTTTTTTTTTTTTTTTTTGTAATGATCACCTATAAGCACAATCAGTACTTGGGAGGCTGGATGTCAGATGATCAATCTTGGTTCAAGTCCAGTTTTGATTACATACCAGGGTTTGAGCTATATGAGGTCTAAAATAATAACAATCAAAACAAACAAGAATGATACCACCTCAAAGATCTTGAAAGATATTCTAAGAGAAAAAAGCCTGAAATCTCAGAAAAAAAAATCATAGGCCAACCTTCTGAGGATCCTGACACAAGTACAAGAGTAAATGAAGTGGTGGGCTAGGAAATCTCTGTGCCTCTGCACAGAGAAGAGGTGCGTGCACCTGCAGTCCCACTGTCAGGGAGGCTGGAGCAAGAAGACTGCCCACAGTCCCAGGCTAGCTTACACTAGACAGGAGCACCAGGCTAGCCGAAGGACAGTGCGGTTCTGTCTCCAAAACAAGGCTCAGGCATACCGCTCAGCTGCTAGAGCGCCTGTTCAGCCAGCAAGGAGCCCTGATATGAGCTCAGTATAGTGGTGCATACCTGGAATACCAACCTTTTGGAGGGGGAGGGAGAGGATCTAGAGTTTAAGGCCACCTTCAGAGGCCTTAAAGCACACTGGGAGGCCAGACTTGGCTAAATGAGACCTGCCTCGAAAATAAGTACATAAAGAAACAAACAAATAAGCAAATAGTAATCCAGTAAAACTCAAGACACAAAAGAAATAACCAATGTAAGTTATGACAGCCAGATGTGGTGGCACACATCTTTAGTCCCAGACTGGAGAGGCAGAGGCAGAGCTCTGCGAGTTTGAGGCCAGCCAGGGCTACACAGTGAGTTACGGGTCAGCCAGGGCTACACAGAAAAATCCATGTCAAAAAAACAAAACAACAACAACAAAAGGCTCGCTCTGTCTCCTGGTCTCTCTCCGTCTCGTCTGTCTGTCTGTCTCTCCCTCTCTCTCTTTCTTGCTTGCTTGCTTTCTTTCTGTCTTTCTCTTTCTCTCTCTGCCCTCATGGCTCACTCGGGCTCTTACTTCTTTCCATTTCCCCTCCTCGCAAATAAACCTTATACCAGGAAAAAAAAAATCATGCTATAGCATATAGTATATATGCTATACTGCATCAGAAATAGCTCAGCAGGGAAAGAGGATGCAGCTTAAGCATAAGGAACAGTGTTTGGATCCCCATGTAAGAGCTGGCAGATGTAGCAGCCCACTGTATTGCGGCACGTCAGAGGCAGAGACAAGATCACCAGAACAAGCTGGCTAGCTTGATTAGCCCAACTGCTGAGTTCCAACCTCAGCAACAGACTCTGCCTCAATCTATAAGGTGAAGGGTCATGCACATTGTGTGTGCACGTATGTGGAGACAACCAATATCAATCTCCAGTCTCTACACATGTGCACATGCAATGCTGCCATACACAAACACGCATCACACAAACCATACATTAAAAATAGAACAAACAAAAACAAACTGGGTGTGGTGGCACAGACCTTTAGCCCCAGGACTCAGAGGCAGGCGGATCACTGAGAGTTCCAGGCCAGCCAGGAATTCCAGGCCAGCCAGGTCTGTTACACAGAAAAACTATGTCAAGAAAGAAAGAAGGGGTTGGGGGAGGGAGAGAGAAGAGAGAATGAGAGAAAGAGAGAGAGAGAGAAAGAAAGAGAAGAAAGAAAGAAACAAAGAAAGAAAGAAAGAAAGAAAGAAAGAAAGAAAGAAAGAAAGAAA